AGTTAGCAACGTCCATTGGCCAATATTACAGGATAAAAAGGACGATGCTGTGTATTAAATTATTCTTTATCTTTCCTGTATCTTTTCTCGTCTTTTTCGTTTAGACCATCAGGTTCTAAAGTGTGGAGTTGGTGGATCCAAAAATTTTCTCTTCTCCTTCTCGCCGTGGTGTCCCACTCGGTGTTGACTTCTATGATTTGGAAAGTAACATTATCAATGTTTCGTTGAACGAAGATGTCTTGTGAGAGGACAGTTTTTGTTGGTTTTGTACCATGAACGATGGTTATTGAGCCGAATATTAAATTTGTCCATTGTTTCTCCCACATACTGAATGCCACAAGTGTCACATGTTAATATATAAATTGATTTCTCCGTTTTACAGTTGGAATTTGAGTAGATGGTATAATTTTGTTTAGTAACGGAGCTGATGAAAGAACTGCTTGTATTGGCAGCTTTACAACACAAGCAGTTCCTTCGACCACATTGTTTGTAGAAACCGGGAGATGGAGAAGGCTGCTTTGCTTATACAGATGTCACTAATTTGTCACGGATGTTTTTAGGTCTTCTGAAGGCCATCACTGGTGGTGAGGAAAATACTTTTTTAAGATTTGAATCATTTTCTATAATTTTCCAATGCTTCTGAACAATGGAAGACACATTTTTAAAATCCGGATGGTAAGTGAGTACAAGGGGTGTTCGCTGCTTTATTCTTATCTTTGTACTCTAGAAGTACTATTCGAAGGATCAACACCATCCTTCAAGAGATGTTCGACAAAAAGCATATAGACAATGCATCTTTGATTATCTCCGACCTCTTGAGAACGAAGCAAAGACCGGAAGAGTCTATATGTTGCCTAAAATACATAAAACGGGCAATCCAGGTCGACCAATTGTTTCAGCAAATAGTCATCCAACTGAAAAGATATCAGAATTTGTAGACCATCATCTAAGACCTCATGTGAAAGAACTACCCTCTTACATTCAAGATACGACTGATTATCTAAAGAAAATAGAAAGCCTCAATCCTCTACCAAGCAATACTATACTTGCATCCATGGACGTGTCTTCTTTATATACCAACATTCCACAAGACGAAGGAATAGCAGCGTGTGAAGAGGTATGGAACACTCGTAGTGAAAAAAATCCTCCAACTGAGTGCCTTGTTACACTTCTGAAACTAGTGCTAGAGAACAACAACTTCTCTTTTTAATGAAAAACATTATCTCCAGATAGACGGTACTAGTATGGGCACAAAAATGGCCCCGTCATATGCCAACATATTTATGGGCCAACTTGAAAAACGCCTCTTGGCTAGTGCTCCATACCAGCCCTTATCATGGTTCCGATTCATTGACGATATTGATTTCAAATGGACAGATTCACAAGAATATCTTAATGAATTTCTAGGACACTGTAACTCTTTCCACCATTCAATAAAATTTACATATGAAGCATCTATGGAGAAAATAAACTTCCTCGACACTACGAGTTACATCAAGAACGGAACCATTATAATGGACCTTCATACCAAACAAACGGACAAACATCAATTCCTTTCTCCTAAAAGTTGCCATCCTAAACACTGCTCCCGTGGCTTCCCATTCAGCAAGGCATTGCGAATCAAGAGAATATGCTCTACTGAAAATACGCAAAATGCTAGACTTGGACAACTACGTAAACATCTAGTTGTTCGAGGATACAATAACAACATCATTGATAGTGCTTTCGAAAGAGCAAACAAAACTAGTCGCCAAGAACTTCTAGAGTACAAAGATAAGAATAAAGCAGCTAACAGAACACCCCTTGTACTCACTTACCATCCTGATTTTAAAAATGTGTCTTCCATTGTTCAGAAGCATTGGAAAATTATAGAAAATGATTCAAATCTTAAAAAAGTATTTTCCTCACCACCAGTCATGGCCTTCAGAAGACCTAAAAACATCCGTGACAAATTAGTGACATCTGTATTAGCAAAGCAGCCTACTCCATCTCCCGGTTGCTACAATGTGGTCGAAGGAACTGCTTGTGTTGTAAAGCTGCCAATACAAGCAGTTCTTTCATCAGCTCCGTTACTAAACAAAATTATACCATCTACTCAAATTCCAACTGTAAAACGGAGAACTCAATTTATATATTAACATGTGACACTTGTGGCATTCAGTATGTGGGAGAAACAATGGACAAATTTAATATTCGGCTCAATAACCATCGTTCATGGTACAAAACCAACAAAAACTGTCCTCTCACAAGACATCTTCGTTCAACGAAACATTCTTTTGATAATGTTACTTTCCAAATCATAGAAGTCAACACCGAGTGGGACACCACGGCGAGAAGGAGAAGAGAAAATTTTTGGATCCACCAACTCCACACTTTAGAACCTGATGGTCTTAACGAAAAAGATGAGAAAAGATACAGGAAAGATAAAGAATAATTTAATACACAGCATCGCCCTTTTTATCCTGTAATATTGGCCAATGGACGTTGCTAACTTCAACTACGAATTTTGTAAAAATCTTGAACTTCATCCAAATTATGTATTATTTTCAAGGCAGCTAAATTCAAGTGCAACATATACATTGAGCTGCAAAAGTTTCTTATCATCTACATCCGATTTCACCTGGATAGATGCACGCTTGATAAAGCTAGTTAGTCTAGCGAAATATTGCGTTTATTTTCATCATTTTGTAAATATTTTAAACATTCTTATATTTACATACTAAATAGTGTGTTAAAATTACATTGTTAGGCAATCTATAATTTTATTTGTGTAATTGAATTAATCTCTGTACTGATTAATCCACACTCCCATGTATGTCATGTGCTGCTATTTATAGGCACTTATGTATCGCTTCTTCAACTTATATATATTCATTTGTATAGAATTTTTTCATGTGCAATGTTTAATTTGTCTTTAAATATTTAATTTCTTTCATGGTTTAAATCATGACTGACTATTGTACATTACCATATGTTATTTTTAAAGTTTGTTTTTAAACTATTAAACTATTCATACTTGTTCTATGGACATTATTTTCACCCTTGTGTTTAAATGTTTAATAAGCAAGACCTGTTATATCATAATATTGATATATGAATCTACTACTTTACTGTTTTAGTAGGATTGTTATAATGATCTTGTTTATGACATTTTTTATTGTTATAGCAAACTCAATGAATTAAGCCAAAAAGAAAACAATGACCCCTCCCCTCCAAATAAGGATGCATACTGTATGATAATAAGGTGTTATTGCTTATTGCCAATTCCCTATTAACACTCTTCTACAGTGACCGGATGACGAGGACTTTACCAACAATTTGCCACAGTAAAGCCTTTCAAATTGAGCAAAACACAACCCAATAAGTAACCTTTGAATGGCATCTACATAACAGAAATGTAAATTATTCAAAGAAGAAAACAAAAGACGTGATTTATGCTAAATATTACAGTTAACCCAAAAACACTAAAACAGGCAGCAATTTACATCAACCACTGAAATGCAAACTTATGACCCGGGAGAGGGCACAACTACATTTGGCGGGGTTGTATGTGATTACCTGATTGATCAGACAGGAACGATATAAAGAAACAACTCAACAAAAAAGACACATATTACAAATTAATGAATACTCGTAGTAAAAGAGAGGCGAGAATTACCAAAGGGGTATTCAAACTCACCAGTCGAAAATAAACTGACAACGCCATTGCAAAAAAGGAAAAGACCAAAAGACAATCAGCAGTACACAAAACACAACATAGAAAACTAAAGACTGAGCAACACGAACCCCACCAAGAACAGGGAGTGATCTCAGGTACTAGTTCAAAGCAATACTAACGAATAAATCTTGTTTTCGGATTTAATAGTCAGTTCCTAGGTTAGCGACCTCTTTACATCCCTTTTGGTCATAAGTATAGCTCTTCCCGTGATTCAGTATTTAACAGGCTATTATTTCAACTTGGAATTATTTTTAATTATGGAATTTGCATAATTTCTTGTGCTCGAAATTTTTAATGAATTCCATGTTTATTCTGTATTATAATGTTTTGAGCGGCGCATTACACTTTCCATACAATGTATTTTTTATAGATAGTGTTGTGCGTCGCACAGTACATTCTATTGAAAATATGCTATCTTCTTTGTAATAGAAAGTGTTGTGCGCCGCACAGAACATTACAGAATGAACATGAAACTTATTAAAAATTTCAAGCACAAGAAATTATGCAAATTCCATAATTAAAAATAATTCCAAGTTGAAATAATAGCCTGTTATTTATACATCCTTGTCTAACAAGAATTTGAGTTTGAACATACCTGATCATGAATTTATATCATGTTTTAAAAGTATAAAGTTTTGTTATGTTTTTATGATAGGGGATAAGATACCAAGGGAACATTTAGAACTCGGAAGAAAATATTTAAGGACACCATGGCAGAAAGAATAACTATGACAAACCTTCACAAAACACTATAGACAGTCATTAATAATTGAGCAAAACGAACCCCATCAAAAACCGGTAGTTTACTCCGGTGCTCAAGAAGGGCACGTTACAAAGGTGTTACCGTAAACATTTATAATTAACCGATATTTTAAGAACCCACAAACATAAAAAAAAAACACATGTTGAATAATACCGCATTAATAAGAAAATGTGATATCGATGTATGACTGTAGATTTGAGCAATACTTGAAATCATCGATATACATGTGTTGTTACATCCGGACAACTTGGACAGCAATAAGGTCATGCTAGAAATGTACAGTTAATTTACATTCATTTTTTTTTAGCATTTAGTAATACCACTGTATATTTACCATTTTTTACTATTTGTTTTTTGATATTTGCTTGTTTGATTAAAATCGATTGTTTAAATTAAAGGACATTATACACTATATTCTATTTTTATCTTTGAAGAGTGGAAAACTCTTCTAAAAATAAAGTATTATTGTTTCTGTACAGAACAATTTCTGAAATCATTTCTAGTCATGTTATCATGTCGTGTAGGTTGCACTTGTATTAGTGCCTCAGTCCTAAATCATGGCACTACAAAACTGTAATTGTGTCAATTAAACCTCTTCAGTGTTACAGCAATTTATATAAGTACCTTGTAAAGGTCTGGATGGAAAGAAAGATTTCAAATTCTAATCACGGAGCTGAGGAAATATATATGGATGGATTAAAATACAAAGTAGGTATTAACATTATTATAGTATATCGGGTCTGTTCATATTTTATCGTGGTGTTTTTTTTTATTGGGAGGAACAAAGGTCGGAGGGGGGGTTAAAATGTTATTGGTTATAGTTGGATACTGGACTAAGTTTATTAAAATAATCAGATGTGGTTAACTTGCCAATGAGACAACTATCCACTAAAGACCAAGAACATAAAATGTAAGCAACTAAAACGGCCACCGTACGACTTTTAACAATGAACAAAACCCATACCGTGTAGTAAGCTATAAAAAACCGTGGCATGACAAACGAGGAACCAAGACTCTGAAGTATGAGTAAACAATAAACAAAACAAAAAACAAATATGACACACTACCACTAAAATATAAGCTCCAGAAGCTCTGAAAAAAAATATTCGACCGGGATAAACTGGGACATTTAGGCTGCCACTTGAAAATGAGGGTTTGCTTTCTTTGTAGCAATCAACCTACGGATCCTATCAAGATTTTTGCATTTTTTTGTACGTGCAGAGAGCACATGGATACTTTTGCTTCATTGGATTTTACGTCCAAATTCCGACATGATGTGGCTGTTTATATTTAAATTTCACACTGACAAACACGCTTCTGGTCGATACATTACTGAAGAATAAATTAAAAATGATGATTAGATATACAGACTAGATCAGAGAATGGTCCCAATATTAGTTGTTATAGGTATTGCTCTGTGTACCAATTCTTAAAAGTTGTATTAATAGAGCTACCTATTCTCTGCTAGTACATTCTGTGCAATATAAAGGGATTGTGATTTTTTTTCTCTTATTTTTTAGATGCCAAAATACGAGTTTTTATATTTTCTGTATGGCGTAAAAATATTTAAATAAAAAAGGGTCTTACGAGTGATATGCCCCCAAATGTATGAAAAAAATATGGCTACCGGACCTCTCCCGTCTAGAAGTAAGGAAGATGCTGAGAGCATAAGGTATTTCAAAGAATAATAATTGGTTTGTAACGTATTTATTACTGATTAAGAAAGACATCAATATATATTATACAGCAACGAAATAGACAGCGACGCGTTTTTCAAGAATACTTAAGGTTAACGTAGTTGAGATTCTACACGAATTACTTTATCAAATCTCAGACAGATATTAGTGTACAAGAGGACAATAAACAACGTATAAATGTAGATGCACGATGGCAGGCAATCCTATCATTGTAAATTGACACAAAAATTCCGGGTAGACAAAAAGAGAATAAGTGAGAATAAAAGATATATTACTTGTCTCCAAAAAAACATTCTTTACAACCCCCCTTTTTTCTCCCTTTCATGAAATTCTATGGTCGTTCCATAACTTATTAAAAATTATTCCTGTGAATCTCTCAATTTTATATAAGAAAATAATTGAAGCTCTCAAATATAAAAAAAAAAAAAAAACAAAATCACCATTGCAACCAGATTAAGCTGCGTTTATACGTATTTGCACATCCTCTACGGCCCTCTACGCAAATCATAAGGAATGCGGTGGGAGAAGTCCGGATGATTGTAATTATAGTGTCCCTCTCGTGAAGCCATTATTCTAAATTAAATTAACATTGAGACCATTAAGTCATTGATCTTTAAACATTTCCTTCATTGTCAAAGCTATCCCAATAAATGTGATATAATTGTACTTTTATCATCGCGGATAATAACATTGATTTGAAATGTTTACAACGGGAAAAGTACAGAAAGATATAAAAGATAAATGAATGAATGCAGAACTACATTATAAACAACACACACAAAGCATGATTAATGAATCATTATAAAGGTTAAATATAAACTTGAGATACTATACGTAAATGTGTTATTAGGTCAATATAGTCTACAGCAAATAAAGTACTGTAACGTGATAAATCATTAATTACTTGTATTGTACTACTGCATCTGCTACCGATGAAGGTAGGCTTGATTAACATACTATATTATGTGTTATTATATCACTATAAAGTAAATATTGTAATATATATATATATATTTATTAAGAAACTACCCCTTTGCAACGGGGGCACTTGCAGGCAGGGTACCTACAAATGCGTCTAAGAGCATATACAATGAATAATGTACAATGAAATAAAATACACACAAGACAATATCATTTTTAAAAATTGATACCCTTTAAAACATGTCACCTTTCATGAAAGACATAACAGCATTATATAAGATAAAATCTCAACATTAAAAGATCACATCAATCTAATTGCACATGCAAATCACATTAAGCTTAATTTTCTAAAATCGAAGACCTGTAAGTGTACATTTCACTCAACATCTTTTTACTAAAAGTGTCCACATGTTTACAAACATTTCGATCAACATGATAAAAATATTCACCCAGCAGTATGTTTATTTTTTCGTAGGACGGTAACTCTGTGAAGCAAAAGTCGGGAAAGTTAGTACTTATAGGCAAAATACTTGTTTCGTATAGGGGTATATTCACAACATTCGAGTACGAAGTATTCCACGGACTCCTCATATTTACATGAACACATTTGACAAATGGGAGTCTCGCTCATATTCATTGTATACAAAACTTGATTCATAGGTAAACAGTTTGTTCGTGCTAACAATTTTAACCGTGTAGATTTAAAATCGAGCAAGTTTGACAAATAAGGCTGTCTATCAGGCGCAAGGTTAAATTTGGAGAACGCATTTAGACTGCTTTTATTTCTTATAACTTGAAATTCTCTTTTACGAACAAACTTTCCAAAAAACTGTTTGAAAATATTCAGGTTAACATTTGAATTGTAAAAATGATCAAGACCAACCGTATTGAACAAATTTTCCATATACTGGGGATATCCCCATCCTCGATGCAGCGTTTAGCCCTTTAGCTCGTAAAATATAATTCGACATAATCTTTTTTTGTCTATGTCATGAATTCTAGCAAAATAAGACACCCTTTGTCTATCATGGAAATCACTTATTGGTTTCCACCCTAAATCTACGAAAAATCCGATTTAGGGATACTAGTATTCATTGTAGTACTGAAAATAAATTTCGCCGATTTATATTGCCAAGTTTCAAGAATTTGTTTGCTTGAAGCTGACGACGGCAGCCATACAGCATAACCGTGTACGATAGATGGCCGTATTATCGAGTTCCAGAGGGCATCTCCAAAGGATATACGATTGAAAGATCCGTGCTCATTTAGCAATTAGTCATATAATTGAGCTTGCGCTCGAAGTTATCTTTTAAGTAACAATTTATATGATATGCAAAAGTCTATGAACTGGTAAAATAAACTCCGAGATATTTGAATTCATTGGTTTCATCAAGGAGCAGATTACCTAATTGCCATTTCTTATCTTTATCTAAAAGCTTACCTATTATCATAACCTTGGATTTGTATTGGTTAAATTTTAGATTCCACTTTGAAGCAAAAGTAGCCGTAATATCAAGCAGACGATGTAGTTCCTCCTCGGACTTCCCGATAAGGACTACATCATCCGCAAATAAAAGGCAATTCACTAGTTGTGAGGATAGTTCGGCACCAAAATTGCTGGCTTCGAGCATACTTACGAGGTCATTCATTAGAACAGAGAAAAGAGCCGGAGACAAGACACAACCTTGTTTTAGGCAAAATTCTTGATCAAAGAAACCTGTTTCACAATCACCAAACAATGTTTGATACATTACTGTAAAGTGATTTGAGCAGTTTCCAACACTTACCTTGAATGCCGGTTTTCCACAATAAGTAGAAAAGGCCATCACGCAAGACTCTGTCGAAAGCTTTTAATAGGTCTAGAAAAGCAAGAAATTCTTTATAATTTTTAGCTTTTCGAATAGAGCAAATACCTTGAAGAGTAAAAATATGATCTTCTGTTCTTCCATTTTTTTGTAAATGCCCCCTGAACCTCGCCTAAAATATTATTTTCTTCCAAGTAGGTCATTACGGATTCCTCCAAAATTTTCGAATATACCTTTGTACACATTAGACGTTAAAGTAATCTCCCTATAGTTATCAATATCAAAGACAGATCCAGCTTTGAGTATGGGTTTGATGATGCAATTTTGCCAATCACCAGGTACAGCTTCGAGGTCAGTAATAATAGTGAAGAGATCAACAAGTGAATCCGCAAGCGCATCGCCACCAAAATTTAAAAATTCATTGGGAATCTCATCGATACCACTAGCTTTGCGCGACTGAAGGTTTCTTATAATTTTATCTATCTGCTCTCTGTCAATTTTTACTGAGATATGCGAGTCAGGAAAAACTTCATTTTTTTCTATACTCGAAAGAAATTCCTTAACCTCATTTTGCATATTACGTTATAAAGAGGAATCTCTACCGAAAGAGTTAAAATGGTTACTCAAAACAGCATTTATGTCTTTTTCGTCCGTAAGAAGTTTGGACTTAAGGTTCATAATCTGTTTGGGGACAGTACTCTTATTTTTGCCTTTTAAAAGGTCCCAGAAGCATTTGACTTTATTGGAGGAATTAACACATTTGTCATGAAATTGTTTCAATTTCAGAGCGTTTTCCTTCTTTTTAATAGCTTCTTGGACTTTAACTTTCCTGAGCTTATAAGTATTAGTCAAAAGTTTGCCCGTCTCGCTATTATAGTCACGGGTTTTGTCGTGAGTTCTTTTTAGACGGTTACTTTATTTTCTGCTTTTAATCAAAAAGTCAAGCTCTTTGTCCCAGAACCTACGATAGAGCTTAGATTTGCTTGCATTATGAACGGACTTTTTCCATTGACCCCAAATAGTATTGATTTCAGATAATATTTTCATAATAGGCACTGATGTGTTGAATTTTTGTTTTAGGGTTGACCGAAAAGTGTTCCAATCAGTATTATCGTGAATTTTCCAAATGAAAGCAGGTTTTTGGGGTTTATTCTTTATATTACACATATTTACGTTCATTTCAGTCCGTAATATTACATGATCACTATGTAGATCGAAAATACCATCTTCATCTATAAATACACATATAACGTTGCGACTAAGGGCTTCTGAAAGAAGAACATAG